AATAGAAAAATTAGGCAGGCATGGTGGCATGTGCCTATACTCCCAGCCACCCAGAGGCTAAGGTGAAAGGATGGCTTGAGCCCGGAAGGTCAAGGCTGCAGTGAGCTGTGATCACACCTCTGCCTGAGTGACAGAGCGAGACCCTAGCTCAAAAAAAAAAAAAAAGGAAAAAGAAAAAGAAAAAAATACTGTGAACTGGACATTTAAAAAACTTTTTGATCCAAGAGGAAAATTTAAACTGAAATTGCAGAATATCTGGAAAATAACAATAATGAAAATACCATTATATTTGTTGGATATAGCTAAAATGGTGTTCAGGGAAAAATTCATAGAATTACATAGAATATTTAGAATCAGAATGATATTAATAGATATGAAGGGATGAAAGTGAATTAAGGCACCCAGTTCAAGAAATTAGAAAGAAGAAAGAAACTGAAAGCAGAAGGAAAGAAGATTCAAATGGAAATAATTTTAAAAACAGAAAAATGGAAGAACTCATAAACCCTTAAGAGTTGGTTGCTTGGATGAAAAACAGCTGTCAATTAAAAAAGCTCATTAGCTAACCTATGTAAGGGGGAAAAAGAGGAGCAGTAACAAGCACCCAGATGCAGAGGAATCAAGAATCACAAGGGTTTTTGTTGTTGTTTTTGCTCAACTAAGTGCAAAAGAAATGGAAAATTTGGTTGGCATATAAATGTAATTTACTAAAACTGATTCCCATGGAGATTGTCTAAATAGATTAATGACCATGGGGTGAAAAATAATAGGAAAAGTTCTCAGAGATACAGTCCCTCAGAAACACCAGGCTCAGATTGATAGGGAATGTCCTCAAACCTTTCAAAACATATATTTCCATTATTTAAATTGTTACAAAGTACAGACAGAGAAAGGGGCCAGGTTATTTTTATGAAATAATATTGACACCGACACCTGACAAATACGCAGAAAGAGAAAACTACAGACTCTAATGTTCTCCACCTATGAATATTGATGCAAAAAAATTTAAATGGAAGATCAGGAAACAAAGTCTAGCAGCACATTGAAAGAGTAATATACCATGACCAACTGGAGTTTATTAGAAATATAGGGATAGTTCAATATTGAGATATCTATTAACATAATTTTATATGTGTGTGAAATCTAAAATATATGAAACCTGTGCCATTCTCTGTATAGATGTTGAAGAGACATCTGTTAACCTTCAACATCTATTCTAGATTCTTTTAAAATGAACCCTCTTAAGAAAAAAATGGATAATTTCTTACACCATTGAAATATATTTATTTCAACTCCAAACAGCATCTTGATTAAAGAAAAAAACTCTAATAGCATTCCTGTTATAGTTAGGAACAAGACAAGGACAAGACTATCATGATTTAACTGTGTTTGGAGATACCAGCCAACAGAATTAGAAGTAGAAAATAGAAATATAGCAAAATAGAAGCATAAAAGTGGAAAGGAGGGGGTAAATTATTACTTGCTGATGATATTGTTTTAAAACTGGTAATCCAAGAGAATAAACTAAAACAGCATTAAGCATTGAGATAATTCTGGAAGGTAAACTGGGTACAAAATTAATGTGCAGAACTTAGTAGTGTTCCTTTATAAAGATACATGTTTATTAAAAGATATAATGAAAAAAATACACTGTGTAAGAACAACAACAAAAAAATATAGAAATCTAACAGGAAGAATATAAGGCATATAAAGGGGAATTTTTTTTTTTTTTTTTTTTTTTTTGAGATGGAGTCTCGCTCTGTTGCTCACGCTGGAGTGCAGTGGCATGATCTCAGCTCACTGCAATCTCTGCCTCCGATGTTCAAGTGATTCTTCTGCCTCAACTCCCGAGTAGCTGGGGTTACAGGCACCCACCACCACGCTCGGCTAATTGTTTGTATTTTTAGTAGAGACGGGGTTTCACCGTTTTAGCCAGGATGGTCTCAATCTCCTGACCTCGTGATCTGCCTGCCCCAGCCTCCCAAAGTTCTGGGATTACAGGCGTGAGCCACCGCGCCTGGCCTAAGTGGGTATTTCATTTCATCTAAACTATCAAATATATTGGCATGAAGTTGTTCATAACATTCCCATATCCTTTTTTTGAACAGTTTTATTGAGATGAAATTCACATGTCATAAAATCCTCCCATTTTAAGTGTGTAATTAATTGGCTTTTAGTATATTCAGGGTTGTGCGACCATCACCATGATCTAATTTTAGAACATTTTCATCACCCACAAAGGAAACCTTACACCCATGAGTCACTTTCCATTCACTTCTCCCCTTGTCAAAAATCAATTGACCATAGATGTATGTATTTCTGGACTCTCAGTTCTGTTCCCTTCCTGTCTGTGTCTGTCCTTATGCCAGAACCACACTGTCTTGGTTACAATAGTTTTGTATATAGTAGTCCACCTTCTCAGTGATTTTGCCTTCCTTGGTTTCAGTTACTCATGGTCAACTGAGGTTCAAAAACATTAAGATACTCTGAGGGAGAGAGAGACCACATTCACATACCTTATTACAATATATTGTTATAATTGTTCTATTTTATTATTAGTTATTGTTAATCTTTTACTGTACATAATTTATAAAGTCAGCTTTATTATAGGTATGTTTAGGAAAAAACAGTATATTTAGGGTTTGGTACTGTCCATTGTTTCAGGCATCTGCTGGGGGTCTGGGTATGTATCCCCCATGGATAAGGTGGATTACTGTACTTTTGAAATAAGGATGAGTAAGTTCTCTGACTTTGTTGTTTTTAAGATGATTTTTGTCTCTTCTGGGTCTCTTGCATTTCCACATGAAATTTAGGATCATCATATCCATTTCTGCAAAAAAAAAAAAAACAAAAAAAAAAACCAAAAACCAACCAGTTGGGATTTTGATAGGCATCTATAAATCTTTCCTTTCCTTTCCTTTTTATTCCTCCTTTTTCTTCTCCTCTCCCCTTTCCTCCCTCTTCTTCCTTCCCCTCCCCTCTTCCTTCTCCTCCCCTCTCCTCTTTCCTTTTTTCCCCTCTCCCCTCCTCTCCTTTTTCTTCTCTCCCCTTTCCTTCCTTTCCTTTCTGTGACAGGGACTCAGTCTGTTGCCTAGGGAACTATTGCCATTTTAACAATATTGTCTTATGGCCAATGAACATGGGCTGGTTTTCCTTATTTAGATCTTTAATTTCTTTCCAAGTTTTGTAATTTTTAGTGTGCCTACACTATTTTTATTAAATTTTTCCTAATTATTTCATTTTTTGATGCTATTGTAGATGGAATTGTTTTCTTTATTTCATATTTGGATTGTTGATTGCTATTGTATAGAAATATTTTGTGTATTGATCTTGTACTGCAATCTTGCTGAACTCATTTATTAGTTCTAATAGTTTCTTAGTGGATTTCTTAGGATTTTCTCTATATAAGATCATGTCATCTTGCAAATAGAAATAGTATTCCTTCTACTCCAATCTGAATACCTTTTATTTCTTTTTCTGTCATAAATACTCTGACTAAAACTTTTGGTACAGTGTCAAATAGAACTGGTGAGAACAGACACCCTTTTGTTTCTGATCTTAAGGGTAAAGCTTTCAGTCTTTCATCATTAAGTATGATATTAGCTGTGAGTTTTTTATAGATTCTCTTTATCAGATTGAGAAAGTTTTCTTCTATTCCTAGTGTTTTGAGTGTTTTTAACTCATGAAAGGGTGTTGGATTTTGTCAAATGTTTTTCCTCTGTCCAGATAATCATGTGGCTTTTTTTTTTTTCAAACTTAAGTGTTCTATTGTGACGTATCACATTCTATGATTTTCAGATGTTAAACCATGCTGACATTCCTAGGATAAATCTTATTTGGTCATAGTCTATAATCATTTTATATTTTGCTGGATTTGGTTTGCTGATATTTTATTGAGGAATTTTACATCTGTATTCATAAGGGATATTGGTCTATAGTTTTTGTTGTGACATTTTATCTAGTTTTGGTGTCAGAGTAATGCCTCATGAGTTAAGTGTCTCCTCTTTTTTTTTTGGAAGTGTTTGTGAAGGATCTGTATGAATTCCTCTTGAAATATGTGCTGGAATTCTACAGTGAAGCCATTGAGCCTGGTGTTTTCTTTGTGGGATGTTTTAAAATTACAGATTCAGTCTCTTTATTTGTTATAGGCGTATTCAGATTTTCTGTTTTTTCTTGAGTTATTTTGCATAGTTTGTGTCTTTCTAGGAATTTTTCAATTTTATATGAGTTATCCAATTTGTTGGTATCTAGTTATTTATAGCATTCACTTATAGTTATTTTTTATTTCTAAATGGCTGGTGATGGCCCCTCTTTCATTTCTGATTTTAGTAATTTGAGTATTCTGTTTTCTTGGTCTAGCTGAGGGCTTGTCAGTGTTGTTGCTGATCCTTGTTATCCTGCTAATGTTAGTAGGATCTATACTAATGTCCCTTCTTTCTTTCCTGATATTGGTAATTTGTATCTTCCTTTTTTAACATTCGTATGTATAATATGTATGTGTGTGCTTATAGATGTATACATATATGTAATGTGTATGTATATATACATGTATGCATACATACATAGACACACACAGTGGATGGTATGTAATAGAAAGTCTTTGAAGGAATATACCAGGAATTTGGTAACATTGGTGGCTTCTGGAGAAGAGAATTGAGTGGCAGAGGAGGGCAAATGAGAGGGAAACTTCACTGATATTTTTTGCTACATTTTGATTTTGTACCATGTGACTATATGGCTTATTTTTTTTTTTAAATCAAAGAAAAACAAAGGTGAGGAGCCACAGAAGATAATGCTGTGTTAGACGCCCTACATCTGCTTTCTGAGGTTTTTGACTTTGGTTTATAGTCATCTTCTCCTCCTCACTGTTTCTCTTCCCTTTCTCCTCCTGGATCCTTCTGAAGCAGTCCAGTCAAGTATCAGAGGGATTTTAGGGTGAAAGGTTCTGACCCTGTTTCACTGTCTGTGGATGAGAAAACCTTTTTCTCTCTGGTCCTCTGCAGAGCGACCTGCAGGTTGGGCTGAGTCTGTCTTTGAGGAAGACACATCGGAGCTTGAGCCTGCCTCCTCCAGGTAACCCTCTCCAGTTCTCTTCTGTTTTCATTCCAGCCCTAGCCTAGTTAGGTGTGAGAGAGAGATTCCCACTGGTTGTCCTGAGGCTGACTTGGGGGAGCACTTTTTGATAAGCTCTTTTTCCCCTAATATCTGCTAAGCTTATAGAGGGTTATGTAGGTATGCAGAAGCCAGAGGTGACCCACCCATGTTCCTGCAGGTGAAAAGGCTATGTACTCTTTCCTCAGAGGGTAAAGCCTCACAAAAGAGGCCTGGGCCCCAGACAGGGGTACATTGGGTATACTTTACCAGGTAACAAGCAGATAGTGGGGGATAAGGAGTGTCAGGGAGTTTCAGTACAAATGTGTGTTTCTAGGCTAATTTTAGCTAAGACTGCCAGCCCCTTGTTAGCATGGGAAGGAATTGGCTGAGATTGAGTCATTTGAGATCATCCTTTTAAAAAAAATCTTCATAAAACCCACAGAAAAAGTGACCTAGGGAAAATTTAGTAATTTTTGTTGACTAATATTTCCCCCTTCATCCCTGTAGGACTGTAGGTACCATCCAGCACTGCCTCCACCTGACCTCAGTATATACCCACTTCCTGCCCCAGCGTGGCCGCCCAGAGGTCACTACAATGCCATTGGGTCTTGGAATGACAGTAGATTACATCTTCTTCTCAGCTGAGTCCTGCGAAAATGGGAACAGAACTGGTAAGCCTGATGTATCCTGGGTTCCTCCACCCCTAGGTCCCTGGGAACAGCTAATGGTAGGTCAGGCATTTGGTAGCATGTCTTGGGCTGCTGGGATTTAACCAGTAAAGGAGCAGATTTCATACCTCCCTTGCGCAGGTCATCCTTATCATTCTCCCCATAGGCCACTTGCCTGCCTTGTCTCTTTTTACTCTTGCAGCATTAAAGAGAGGAGGGTAGGACAATCACTCCAATCCCCATTTTAGAGGTAAAAATAGAGATCTAGGAAGTGGTTGAATTTGTTTAATGACAGCCACTGAGTGGGGGACTTGGTTAGGTTAGAGACCTTATTTTCTGTCTCCTCTCCCCATACCAGTAGGCACAGTATAGCAGTCTCCCAGCCCCATGCCTATATTGTGTAAAGAATGTTTCTTTTTCGCCAGGCATGTGTATTACTGTTATGGCCAGGCACGTGTATTACTGGTTCACACCAGTAATCCCAGCACTTTGGGAGGCCAAGGTGGGTGGATCACTTGAGGTTAGGAGTGAGACCAGCCTAGCCACATGATGAAACCCTGTCTCTACTAAAAATACAAAAAATTAGCCAGATGTGGTGGTGGTGCCTGTAATCCCAGCTACTTGGGAGGCGAGGCAGGAGAATCGCTTGAAATCGGGAGGCGGAGGTTACAGTCAGCCAAGATCACGCCACTGCACTCCAGCCTGGGCAACAAGCATAAAACTCTGTCTCAAAAAAAAAAAAATTAGCCAGGCATGGTGGCAGGTGCCTATAATTCCAGCTACTCAGGAGGTTGAGGCAGGAGAATCACTTGAACACGGGCGATTGTACCACTGTACTCCAACCTGGGCGACAGAGCAAGACTCTGTTACCAAAAAAAGAAAAAAAAAAAATTTTTGTTAAAGTATTTGAATTGATGGCTTATGTTTAAAATTCAGATTTTATGGGCTGGGCGCAGTGGCTCACACCTGTAATCCCAGCACTTTGGGAGGCCGAGGTGGGTAGATCACGAGGTCAGGAGTTCAAGACCAGCCTGGCCAAGATGGTGAAACCCCATCTCTACTAAAAATACAAAAATTAGCTAGGCATGGCGGCAGGCACCTGTAATCCCAGCTACTCAGGAAGCTGAGGCAGGAGAATTGCTTGAACCCGGGGGTCGGAGGTTGCAGTGAGCTGAGATTCCGCCACTGCACTTCAGCCTGGGCAACGGAGTGAGACTCCATCTAAAAAAAAAAAAAAAAAAATCAGATTTTATATAGAAAACCTGGATCTCTAGCTTCTCTTGGAAAATCAAAAGATCTTGTAATGGTGGGCTCTCCAGCTTGCCCCAGTCCCCCAGAACTCACCTGTCTATATTTGTTGATGATATTATGAAGTATCTCTGAGAAAATGAGGCCTCCTCAGCCAGATGCTGCAAGAGGAGGTGAGGGGCGGTGGGCAGCCAAAGGGATGCAGCCTGCAGAAGGCATAGTTCCCAGAGGGCTCCGCCACTGCCTGCCCATGCAGCGTGGCTGTGGCTGCTTTTACCCATTGGCTTTTGCTTTGTGCTCCAGATCACAGGCTGTATCGAGATGGAACTCTCAAGCTCCTGGGTCGTCTCTCCCTTCTCTCTGAAGAGATTCTCTGGGCTGCCAATGGCTTACCCAACCCCTTCTGCTCTTCAGACCACCTCTGCCTGCTAGCCAGTTTCGGGATGGAAGTCACCGCTCCATGACGGGGCTCCCAGGGGAAGAGAGCTTCTCTTTCAGAAGAGCTCACTGGATCAGAGACTGTGGAAAAATCCCATGCTTCTGGAAACTTAGATCCAAGAAACTTACATCCCCTCCCTTCCCCCTCCTTGTTCCCTTTTTCCCATGGTTAGATTTTCTCCAGGCCTGGCCGCGTTCTCTGCCTGTGGTCCTTGCCTCACCCCAACCTCTTCCTAATCCTGTGCCACACACTCAGTGGCCTTGGGAGAGGCAGAAGGGGGGCTCCCCCTTCCTTCCATGTATCCAGAGCTCCCCCTTGATTTTTAATTACCAGGGTTGTGGGAGTTATTGATTTCATTGGTTATTTGCTTTCAGGCTGTTTCTTGGTGTACCTTCTGACCTGACCTTTTCCCTGCCTTCAGGACCTCTGGGCCCAGCCCTCTTGCCAGGCATGCACATGTGAGATATGCATATCATGTATGTGTCCTCTTGAGGTGAGACTGTTCTGCACAGCCATGCCTGCCTCTGACCAGTCCACTTTTCACATTGGGGTTGTAGGCCTAGGAGCAGGTTCAGAGTCTTCCCAAGTACCTGTGTATGACTAGGCAGCAGCAGGGCATGGCCCCATCTCTCCTTTTAACCTCTGTGTTTCATTAGGCATTCATCCTGCCAACCAGGGCAGGCCTGGCATCTGGGCTCTGGGAACAAATGGGGCCCACATCCTGGAGTGGCAAATTTTGGGGGATGCGCTACTTGTCCCAGCGGGCCCTGTGCCTCCAACCCAGAGCTCCCTACAGACCTGGTGTAATTTCTCAAGGGCCCATCCCTTTCCCCAGGCTTCCCTGAGGGAGGTGGAAGTTTGAACCCTTATGTGGAGTTCATTGGGCTAGGGTAGTGGTATGAGGTTTAAAACTATTTAAGGATGAGGAGGAGAAAGAGTCTTCAGGAAACTCTTGTTTCACTGGACTCTGCAGTCTGCAGAACTGGGGCAAGGGTAGGAGTTCCAGTAGGGGAAGGAGCAGGTAGACTCTGCAGCTGCCTCAGGTGGGACTCAAGACCTAAACTGATTCTCTTTTCCTCTCCACTTCTAAGAAGCAATTTTCTGTTCCTCTCCTCCCACCACTTTTTACTTTCTGCTACCTCCCGTCTCCCGCTTCCCTTCCATTTCCTTTCTAGAAAACCCTGGTATTCAACTCAGTCCAAACTGCCTCAGCAGAAAGGTGGCCTTGGACAAAATTGGTCCAAGAATTTGAAGTGGCAGTGTTTGCAGATTGGCTCTGTCCAGCAAGGCTTTAGCTGCTTGTTGCCTCTGCTTTCCCTCCCCTCACACAGAGGTGCCCTGGCTTATTCAGGGGACTCCTTAGTCCACACTGTGTCACCTGCATGCCTTAATCTTTCATTGCTGGGGTGTGGCCTTGGGAGATCCTGGGCCAGCCCCTCCACACATCTCCCTAAGTCAGAGTGGCTGCTGGCCCTGATAGATTTGAGTGCTTTTGCCTCACTCGACCTTCAGAGTGGGACTGAAGACAGTGGCCAAGAGACTTGAGTTTGGGACAGTGAGCCAGGGGTTAAGGTTCTTTCCTTTTTTTGAAAGCCAAAGACCCAGTTTGAATTGTGCTGCTGCATTCATGATTAGAAGCTTTCCATGCCTATGTTCTAGGGAATTTATTTTTCTATGTGTGTATATTTTTAAACTTTGTTTCCTGGGTACTGGGCATGTGCCTGTCTGAGCCCCAGGTCTGTCTACACCCCACCATTCATTCTGTCTGTCCGTCCCCTGGACACTGCCTAAAAGGGTCTCAAGCCAGTGCCCTATGGGTTCCTAGGACTAGGGCCCGTTACTGTTCTCTTCTGCTGGGAAATGCAGCTTTAAAATGGCTAGCGAGGGCAGAGGGCAGGTGCTTGATAGTTTATCTTTTCCTTGCTTTCTTACTTGTTTCTGTTTTGAATATGAAATGGGGTTTTAAATGGTTATTAAACTCTTTTTCCAAATAAAGGTTTACCTTTTTTCCCCCCCATTGTTGGTCATTTTTTTAGGATCCTGAAGGGATTAGGTCCTTGAGAGAGGGCCTGAAGAATGAGGTGGGCAGAGGAAGAGACTGAGGAGCTTTTGATTTTGGGGTGGGGTCTCAAGACATAAATCTAGATTGAGAAATGTGTTGTAAGGTTTCCCTCTATTAGCTGAGGTAAATTCCCGCTGCTCTGAGGCCTGGGAGGAACAGGGCTTGAGTGAAACCGCCTGCCTTGACACTGTTGGGGGGGTATAGCTTTCTTCTGTCCTTGCCAAGTGATAGAATGACTCTTTGGACTGCTTTTCATTCTTCCTCCATCTGCTCCCCCCAATGCCTCCCTCTAGTGTCTACTGCGCTTCAGGAGGGTCTGTGCAAAGTGGGATAAGATGTGTGTTTTCTTGGTTAAAGCTATGGCAGCTGCATGAGACATGATGCGGGTGGCACATGCCTCTTGCTGAGCATCTATTTCTGATCTCTTTTGCATTCTGGAGCCAGGGCTGAGCAGTGGGCCATCTGTCGCTGGAAAAATGTCTCTTCCTTCCTAGGCCTAACTCTACTGGTGCTTTTGTCCTCCAGCCTCCCTATGCAGTAAGACCAGCCAAGCCCACATGTCCACTGGGAGCCCTGAAACCAGGTCTGGTTTTCTGTCTTACCTGAACAGGTTCCCAGAACCCACACCAGGCCTCTGAATCAGTCTCTGAGAATCTGATTGATTTAAAGCCACTTGGTTGCTTCCATTGCACTACCTGGGTTGCAATCCACTCACTGATTTAGTAAAAAGAAAATTCAGCAGCTGGGCGCGGTGGCTCACACCTGTAATCCCAGCACTTTGGGAGGCTGAGGCGGGCGGATCACCTGAGCTCAGGAGTTCCAGACCAGTCTGACCGACATGAAGAAACCCCGTCTCTACTAAAAACACAAAATTAGCTGGGCATAATGGTGCATGCCTGTAATCCCAGCGACTTGGAAGCTGAGGCAGGAAAATCACTTAAACCTGGGAGGTGGAAGTTGCGGTGAGCCGAGATCGTGCCATTGCACTCCAGCTTGGGCAACAAGAGCGAAACTCCATCTCAAAAAAAAAAAAAAAAAAAAAAAAAAGAAAAAAGAAAACTCAGCTAGGGATTAGGAACATCATTTGTCCTCTTGGCCTGTTCGGTTGGTGACTATAGGTAAGTTACTTAACCGCTCTGTATTTCAGTTCACATTCCTTGGTGAAATAGAAATTAAAGTTAATAATCACTTCTACTTGTGAAGAGTTTTCAGATCTGAAATTGCTTTGTTTGGGCTTCGGCAAGAAAAGGGTGCTAAGAATTCCAGAGAATTACTGGTAGGAGTTGGGAGCAGATAGTTACCCCAGCCAGGCTGGACAGTTGGGCCCATTGACTGGGAAGTATTTGAAAGCCCTAAGCTTTGAGGTATATCCCCAAAAACCCCTTCCTGGCAGGGAGGGTTCCTCCTAGTTGTCTTAGTCAGCATCTGCACGGCACTTCTGTTAAGTTTACACAGTACTTCCACCTCAGCTAGCAAAGACAGTAGCACTGTGTGGTGGCAGTTTAGGTGGTGTTCAGATTCGACCTTTACATCTGAGGAAACAGAAATCCCAGAGATAGAATTGGAGACTCTCCTTTGGTTTATTTCTTACCACCCCAAATTTCTCACAAGCCTTTCCAGGATCAGGCGAGGCAGGTTTTCTTGGAAGGCAGACGCTGGTGGTGGGGGCCTGGGCTTGGGGAGCTCAGAGGCAGTTTTCTACTGGAGACCAAGACGGGAAATGGCCAGTGAGGAGGCTGCTGCTTTTTTTGTTTTGTTTTTCTCTCCAGTTCCTGCCCTGCTGTAGCTACTAACTAGAGGAATGTTCTGGTTGTTTTGTTTTTCCTTTTTAAAATTGACGTGTGATAGTTGTACATATTCTGGGGCTGCATGTGATACTTTGATATATGCATACAAACTGTAATGACCAGTCAGGATATTTAAGGACGTTTATCACCTCAAGCATGTATCTTTTCCTTGTGCTGGGAACATTCCAATTCTTCTAGCTATTTTGAAATATACAATAAATTGTTAACTGTAGTCTCCCTACTATACTATCAAATACTAGAACTTAGTCCTTCTCACCATATTTTTGTACCACCCACCTGCTCTTCATTCTCCTCCCCTGCCTTTCCCAGCCTCTGGTAACCCCATTCTGCTCTCTGTTGGAGGGCTGTGTTTTGATTGGCTGCATAATGCACAGTGTGGCTTCTCTTCTCCCAGAAGTGGGAGGAGCCACCTCTGGGTTCCACCAGGGGGAGCTGCCCTGCAGCCCTGGGCTTCCATCACTCCGGTCCACGGTCCATCCCCTCTCCTCTCTCTCCTGAGCAGATGTGCTAGACAAGACTGTTCCAGGTATGGGCCAGCCAGACAGCGGCATGGTGGTGAGGGTGCAGATCTGCTGGAAGCAAGAGAATGTGGACTTCATGGGTTGTGGAGGCAACTCTGCACTTTGTCCCATACCTAGTCAGTTCCTATGACTTTAAGGCCTGAAGCCTCAGCTTGCTGTGGAGAGGACAGTAGAGCCTACACTTAAAATTCTTGGAGGTTTTGTGCTTCCAACAACCAAGTCCTTTCAGGCTCAGGGTTGGAAACAGTTTGTGTATCTGTGTGCACATTGTCATTTGGGCTGGGCTCAGGTGACCCGCCAGCTGACCTGGACCCGCCAGCTGACCTGACGTGGCCTCTCCTCATCTTCTGCCAGGCCTCCACAGCTGGTCCCCTCACCCCGCTGGCAGACACTAAGGGTTACAGGCAGCCTGCTTCTGGGCCATTCTGCTTGGTTCTTGGTATGACCACTTTCTGTCACTACCTCCACGGTAGTGGTCTAAATGCTAGCTCCTGGCAAATGGGGCAGTAGAGCTTCAACCCCTTCATTGTCAGGCCTCTGAGAAGGGCCACCTGAACCCAAAGGTCTAACCCAGTTAGTCATGTGCCTAAATTAGGCAGGTGTGTGCTGTGAGCCTGAGGAATGGGACAGCAGGAAATGAGGTAACCCCTTCCACCCCCAAGCAGGTTGGGTTCTGATCCTCCAGGAGTCTGCAATGACATTTCCTTCTGCTTTCTAAGAAAATGGCCAGCGTCCACAAAGAGCCTACCTGACTCATTACGTAGATTCTCACCCCAGCACTTACTTACCCGGCCCCTCATTTGTATAAGAGCAGGCCAGGGGCCCCACTGTGTATGAACCTGTCTTGTTGAAGCCTCTGAGGCCCTTTACTTGGTATCATATTAGCTGGACTTAAATATGAAAATTACAACACTGCCTCTGTGAAAGGGTGTGCAATGCAAGGTATTCACAAATTCTGGTTACTTTGAAGTGCTTTTTTTGGGTAATGTTTTAGCTGGATTTAAAGGAGCCTGTAACACAACTGCCTGTATTTACTGGTGTACAGTCCCAGATGTCTATGGATTCCAGCAGGTCACCTCTCCTTTTTCTACTGCCATGCCTCCTTCTCCCCCTGGTCACGACCACACCACTGAAAATAAGGAGGTCTTGTGGTGCGAAGCTACACTTCTAGCCACGATTTTGTGGGGACTGGCTGGGATGAAAAGTAAGAAATACACTTTCCTCTCTCACAGGTCTGGGTTTTACCCTTAAGCTGAATGAAAGGAGAGCAGAGACAAGGGCAGGAAGGGTTATGGGTGAAATATGCTGTGAAATCTAAAAGATATTTTCTGTGCGCGTCTGGTTTCAACTGTTAGGGCCTGTCTGAAAGTGTGGGAAGAGGTCCAGAGCTGGAGGGACAACAGAGAGGAAGAACAGGGGTTGGTGGATGGGACCCGTAAGTGTTTTCCACACCATGGGTCTGGATGTCAATAGTGATGAGAAGGTTGCTATGGTTTCCTGAGCTACACTCATCTCCCAGGAGAACACGCCCCATTTCTCCTTTGCTCCTGATGGACTGCTGTGGACTGAGACCAGAAGAGCAGGGTCCCGGAATACATCCCGGGAGCTGACTTGAGCCTCTGGAGGCCAGGTCCACTGTGTGAAGAGAAGGAGAAAGCGCTGCTCACAGATCAGGGTTAACAAGGCCCGAGTGGTTTCAGCAGGCTGAAAAAGTCTGGGACCCAGAAGTTTAATCACAACTGCAGGGGCTGGGAGGTTTCCTGTTGCCTGGCTTCAGGCCCACCTCAGGTCAGGCTCTTCCCAGAGCCAATGGGGCTAATGCCGCTGGGCTGGGGGAGGGCTCCGGCCCCAGCCCCAGAGGAAAGGAGACAAGGCCTACTGGTTGTGGTTTCTGCCCAGCCCACACAGCAGGAGCTGGGGAGACTTTATTCATTTCAGGGGAAAGTGACAACAGGAATGAGAGAAGTGTGAAAGTGAAAGGAAGGGCAATACTAAGATGAGAACAGCCTGAACAAAGTCTGGTACAACACTGCAGCCATCCAGAGCTTGAGGGAGCGGGGAGGTCCATCACCACCAGGCCTTGTGGGCCAAGCACACCCACGTTTCTTCTCTCTTGTCAGATGTGATGAAAATGGGAAACTTGGGACTCTGGAGCACCAAGATGGAGCGAGACGGTCAATACTGATGGACTTGCAGCTAGCACCATGGCAGCCTGCCTGGTCTGGGGAAGCTGGCAGGAGGCGATGGTACCTGGTGGGGGCAGACTGTCCACCTCCCAGTCCTTCAGAGGACTGTTTCCTGCCCTTCGCACCATCATCACGTTGGGCCCAGCACTCATGTCCCTGCACTTGGAGTGAGCCCAGGGACACAGGGCAGACACTGGGCCTGCAGATGTTGCTGCAGCTGAGCCAGAAAACATTCCAGGCAGAAAAAGCAGGTGCACACATTCACACAGGCCTCTGGGCACTCCACCAGCCAGAATGAGACCGACTCCTTGACCTGGGAAGTCAAGTCCCAGCGGGAAGGGCTGGAAATCACACGTGGTCAACTTCTCAGCTCTCTCTGCTCCCCAAACCCTGGCCCTAGGCTTGCTTTGTCATCACATCCCAAGGCCAGAGGGCTGCTGCTGTCCCCAACTTGGCCCTGCCAGAAGAGGGATAGGGGTGGCTGGCATGATGGGTGAGGGGAGCATGAGAATGTGCGGAGGCCTTGGAGGGAGAGGACTGGCAGTTACGACAGGAAGGCTCTCTATACCTGGCTCCCCAGTGTTCTGCCCCTGGCACTCAGCACAAGGAGCCAGGCTTTGGGGAGACTTTGCAATCACCCCCCCAATCCTGGTCCATTTTCCCCAGGTTGCTTTCTTAGAACTCACCTTGACCCCTCCTCAGCCAGCAGCCCCCACCTCCAGGGGCAAAGGAGCTAGAAGGCAGTCCTGAACTGGTGGGAGCTGGGGTCCCATCAGCCAGGCCCTGTCCCTCACAGGAAGTGAGATGAGGTGATACCATGGATGGTGACTAAGGCCCCAAAGTCCCTGCCTCTCTGCCTCCCCAGAAACCTCACAGCCAGGCCAGCCCCCGGAGCAGAGCCTGTGTAAACACGCCCAGGAGGGGAGGAGGGGTTGCTACATATGAGAAACAGTTAAAAATAAATTTAAAAAGCACCACTATGTCCTGTGCTGGTCTCCACAGCCCCAAGTCTCAGCTCAGGAAGGGTGAGTGCCGGGGGATTATCAGCTGGGGCTCGGCTCCCTCCCCTGCAGACAGCAAGCAGGTAAGAGCTTCATTTTGCTGTTTTCTCCATGGAGGGCTCTGGGAAAGGATCCTGTAAGTTGGAACCTCCGAAGACTCCAGAACCACGAGTGGCTCCTTCTCATATCTACTCCCCTCAAACCCTGTCGTTCCCAGGAAGCTCCCAGAGGTGGCTGAGGCCACGCCCCTGCTCATGAACGGCAGCATCCAGACCCGGAAAGGACCTAGTTGCAGCCTGGCACCTCCCAAGGTGAGCCATCTCTTCTTAGGCATAGTGGGAACATGGAGACCACACCACCCCCACTCCCTGAAAGCTGGGATGGGATGGTGAGTCAGGGGTCACCATGTGCCTATTATTAGTCTGGCTGGAGTCAGGCACCTCCCAGGGCTCACTGACCCCAGGAGGAACTTGGGGAGGCAAGGGACTGACCAGCTGGCCTCCCAGGGTGCCTCTGGCCGGGCCATGCTGGATCTGGCTCTGGGTCAAGCACTGCTGGTTTGAAGAGCTGCCAGCCTGTGGCGCCTTCCCTGACAGGCACTCTCATCAGCAAAGGCATCCCTGGCTCTGCCTTCCCTTCCTCTTTCTTTGCTTCGAAGGCACCAGCCGTCTCCCTGGCAGGCCGAGAGCTACACTGTCTGTACTCCACACCACCCCCGCTGCTGACCCAGCAACTCCAAAGGGCCTCTGGTTTGTCCCGCTCTGGGAGGGGACTCAGTGGCTTTTCCTTCTCCTCAGCTGCAAGGATCCTCCCCCGGCCCAGCCCAGCTCTGGGGAACAGGACTTTCCTACACCCCACCTCAAAGCATCTTGGTGGACTTCTCCCCAGCACGAGCTCTCTCTACTTCAGGGATTGCAAACTGGCATCCTCTTTTGCCAGTATTGGGTTTTTAAGTTTTTTTGGAAGTGATCACCAGCATTTAAAAATTCTATTTCACATAAAAAGTCAGAATTCTGGCCTCTGACAAAGCAGACAATCTGGCAACACGGGGCTGGCACTGTAAGAACAGCTGAGCAGCTGTGTCCCCTTTAACGGGGTGTGCCCTCTTCAGGTAGCCGTAGTCCCCACGCAGCCCTGCAGCTCTCCTTCTCACCATTTGCTGGCCCTGTTGTCGTTGGAGTTTACAATCCTAGTTCTGATCTTCCTTATGTAGCCCCCCAGCCCTTCTGCAGCCTTACTGGCAGCTGCCCCTAGCAGACTTACAGCCTCTCAGTAAAACAACAAAACCTTAATGGTCATCTCATCCATTTACCCTTCCATAACCCGAATCCTTTCTACCTTTCTACGCCTCCTGACAAACAGCCATCTAGTCCTTGCTGTAGGCAACCCATTACTCCTCAAGCAGCCTGATCCTAAACTCTCCCCCACATCCCTTTCTCACTTGCATCCCCCAGTTCCCAGCTGTCCCTCCTCAGTGGCTGCACTGCACCCTTTCCCTGCACCTCCTTGTTGCTTAAGCCACCAGAACCTACCCCCGGCTCTGCCAACCTCTCTGCATCCTCTCACTTTCCCACCAGGTATCTCATGCTGACGGGCAGGCTGGGGACAACCCCAGGTGCCTAGGTTCTTCCCTTCCAGGGCCCTGATGCCCTGCCACAAGTGACTGGCCTAGCCATCATTGCAACCCCAAGCCAAGATGGGCTGTTAAAGGATGCAAGGCAGGCCTGGGACACAAGCATCCTAGTCTGGTCTTGATTTCCCCAGCAGGGGCTCCTGGCACTGCCAGGGGAAAAGACCCAGGCCGAGGCATCCCACCCCATCAACCCATGCCCAGCCACAGCTCCTGGACAGGTGCCCAGGGTCTGCTCAACTCCCATAGCCATGCTGGCCTCAGTGCCATTCTGGGTCCTCCACCAAGCCCAGACCCTCTGCAGGGAGCCCGTGGGCTACAGTAACAGGCAGAGCTGGGACTGAGCAAGTAGACTCGGTTAGGCCCTGGGAACTTTCTGCTCAGAGGTCCTTCTCTGGGCTCTCCTATCACCCCTCCTCTGCCCACACAGCACTGCCCATGGGGACCTCCAGGGCCTGAAGGCTCTCCTAGGCCACGAGCTCATGCTCTTGGGGCAGATGTGGCCTGTGCCAAGCTCCTGGTTAATGGAACAAACCTTTCTCAGGAGGACTCCTACCCTACTTCCCTTTCCCTGGGTCAAGATTCTGCCAGGGCAGGCAGAACTGGAGAAACATCTCCACCCCACCCCCACCCCCCACCATAGGCCTGGTAAGGCTGGGAAATTTCCCACTGATAGGATGCACTGAACTCCCAGAGAGAAGCCAGGGGCAGAGGCACCAGCAGAACCAGCAATCTCCCTCACCTGGCTCCATGGCACATGGATCTCCTAAGCACTGGCCTTCCCACCATCAGCAGATCCATCTGGACTGCTTTCCCCAAATACCTTAAACTTCAGTTGTAGAGTTAAAAACTCCAAATAAAATACTAACGGCCTCTAGGCCCAAAGTTAGGGAGCTTGGCTCAGTGGGAGCGGGAGCAGCTTGGGGGGCTGAGCTGGAACACACTCTTGCTGCAGCCTCTTGCCCTGCCTTGTCACAGCCCTGCCTTCCCCCATGCATGAGGCTGGTTCCAGCAGGTGGATCCTGACCCCTAGGAGTGGGTGGGGCCTGGGGTGCCGGCATCTGCCTCAGACCCGGATCTGGTACCCATTGAGGTCTGGCATGGCTTTGGGCTCGGAAGGCTTCTTGTCACCAGAGGGCCTGTGGGGAGGAAGAGAGCAGAGCGGGAGGAGAGTGAGTGGTCTGTTAGGGAGACGGAGTTGGGGAGCCAGCAGCGGCTGCCTGGTGGCTTCCCAGCCACATTCTCCAAGCAGCCCTCCAGCGCACAGCACAGTGCATGTGGAAGTGTGTTTTTGGACGCCCTGGCCTGCCTGTGCTGCCTGAATGTGGCCCTGGCTCGCTCTCACAGGCTTGCTCTCTGCTGGAGGCTGGCTAATCTGGCTGCAGTTGGTAGGTAACAGCTTAAAGTATAAATCTCTCTGAGGGGAATCTGTCATCTACAAAAGCCTCTTAGATAAAAGTCACAGATGATGGATATTTTGGTGCCAGAGGTCTGCTTAGTACCCCACCCCTGAATTCATACCAGAGAGGTGACTCCTGAATGACAATTGTATTTAAAGCAGGAGTCAGAGTGATGTGTAGGAGCTGAAATGAGAGGAGGAGAGCTGGTATTTCAATGGCTTGTTCTTGCTACCTAGATATAGACAAAAACCAGACTCTTGGGTGGGGGGCAAAGTTATATGTTCAAAGCCATCTAATATCCAGGCCCTCTCCCATGGCATTCCTGGGAGGCTCACTGCCTGGCAGGGCCCCATCCTTTCCACCTTTTCTCTCACATAACCCATGCTCAGACTAGTAGGCTAGCAGAGTTTGGTTTCTCCGGAAAAGTGGAACTGCCTTGCTGTGGGAAATGTCAATACACAAACCCCTAAACCCACCATCCCAAGTCACCTCCCTTGGGTGGGAGCAAAAAAGAGAGAAGGGTGGGAAAGAGGTAGAAAAAAAGAGGGATACACATGATGAGAAGAAAGGGAAAAAACCCTCTTTGGACCCACCCAGGCATGATCCCTCTCTCACCGTCTTTCGCTGCGGCTGTTCCTGCGGTGGGGGCTGGACTGGGCCCGCTGCGGGGAAGAAACATCCTTCTTCCGGTCCTTGGTAGGAGAGGGAGGGCCCGTCCCTTTGCCAATCTAGGTGCACAGGAGGAAGCAACAGCATCACTCCAGGGCTGCCCTGGAGCCCAACCTCCCCTTCCAGGAGCCACAGGTCCCTGGAGGCTGCCTTGGGGAAGGCCCAGGGAACCTCAATCATGGCTCTGCCCTGTCTGGATCTTTCCCAACCTATTTCCCAGGCACTAAAGCTGCCAGGGCAGGAGTTTCTCCATGGGGCTGTCCAATCCCTGTGGGCCCTTGAAGGCAGAGTGGAAGTGGGGGAAGTCACTGAGATACCATAATATTGCAAAAAGTCCCCAGCAAAGGCCAGGTAAATGTGCCAGTTGTGGGAGCAGCCCATGCTGAACTTAGGGCTGAGATCCCACTCACCCCAAGGGTGATGCTGGTTATTTCCTGCCATTGAGAAGTCAGACTGGTAGCTCTAGCTCTGCTTAAGAAAAAAATGAGAAAAACAAAGGAGTCATCCTTTATGTGGCACCATCAGCTTGACTTTTCAAAACACAGGAGCGCTGGAGAGGGGCAAGAAACAGGGGAGTGTTTAGCACTGAATAGACTGGGAATCCATCGCAGCTCTGAACACTAGGTAACTATTGGCTCTCATCTCTAGATCCAATCTGATGCCTTGAAGACACCATAGCAAACTGAGCAGCAAGAGCCAGGGTGCTGGGGGACCCAGAGCTAGGTGGGGAGCAGCAGCTCTCTAACGCAGGGTTGGCTGTAGCCTGCCTCTGCCCTAGGGGAAGGCCCTGTCACCCCAGGAGATCTCGGCCTAGGGCTGGCAATGGCTAGGGCAGCTGTAGCTCTTACAAATCCCTGCCAGGACACCTGCAGGCACCTGCAACACACCTGGCTTCCCCATCAGGAGGCTGAGCTCCAGTCCGATCTGCCTCTCACTGCCTGTGAGCAAGACTCTGAGCTTCCAACCCTGAAAATGGAGCTACCACCTACCACCCGCTGTCAAGAGAAGCAGTGCACTTGGCAGTGCAGAGGTCGGTGGTTGAGGAGGAGGCTCCAGGCTGCCTGGAGGCGCAGTCACAGTGCAGCAGTGACTGAGCTATGGGGATACCCAGCAGGGGGCCCTGGCAGCTCCAGGAGAACCGAGGCAGAGGTCAGAATTCTGCCTGCTGAAAGGCTCTAGGGCTCAACAGCTCAGCCCAGCTGTTTTGGATACAACAGCCCCCAGCCCACTCCCCATCGCCTCCTGCTCAAGTGTGGATGGGAAAAGGAAGAAGGAACACCGCCCTCATTGTCTTCCACATGGTCTGACTTCCCTTTCTTCTGAGCTTCCCCTAGTCCTTTAATGGTTGCTAGGGTTGGGGGGCAGAGTCAGGATGCCTTACAGGAGGAGCCGGAAGGCTGCCCATCACAGCACCCGACCACACCCTCCAGACAGGCGGTGATTCCCCACCAATGACCTTGACTGCAAAGTCCCCTTCTCCATGTGCCCAACACCTACCACCATCCAAACCCAGCCCACCCACCTCCTCCCTCCGCAGCCGTCCGGGTCTGCCCTCCCCAGGGGACCACCTGAACGATATCGACCACTAAGCAAGGCCCCAGCACCCCAGTCCTCCGAGAAGTTCCCTAGTCCTCTCAATCCGACATCGCCTCTGCTGGGGCAGGGGAGGGGGCGAGGGCGTGGAAGGCGGGCCGACCTTGAGCCGCATGTCGCGGGCGTGGCGCTCCAGCTCCTTGCGGAAGTCATCGCGGCCCAGGCGCTCCACGTCCAGCACCGAGTGCTTCCACTCGATCTGCTCCACGCTGTGCGGGTCGTGCGACACGCTCTGGCCCAGCTTCACCTTCTTGAGCACGTGCCAGCAGCGACCATAGGCGGCCTCGAAGTCCAGCACGAGCTCGCTGAGCGTGCGGAAGGCGGGCGGCTTGTACATCAGGTCCTCGCGCCGGCTCATGCCCAGCGCGCCGTAGCGGCCCGCGAAGTTCACCCCCAGCACGATGTGGCGGAAGTAGTTCCCTGAGAAGTAGGTCTTGAAGCTGATGGGGAAGCGCTCCAGGGTGGGCATGCTGTTGGTGAGGTAACTGGCCGGTGCCCCGCTAAGGAAAGAGCCGGGAGAAGCACGGGCCAGCACAGCGGGAGGGACTGGGACCGAGAGCCACGGGGTCCAGGCCCCGCCTGCCTTGGGGTGCAGACACCCGCCCTGCTTATCTCCACACACCTGACGTCTCCTCCTGGTATTCCTGCCATCTAGCATTGAGCCTGGTATCCAGTAGGAGTTCAAAATAAAGGGAACCTCGAATAGGCACCGGACTTCCAGGGATTTGTGGCCACTGCTCTAAAGTCAAGCAGGGCTGGTGCCACACTGCAGGGCTTTTCAGAGCCTGGTGGCCCAAGGTCGGAGGAGAGGCCTTGCCTCTCCTGCCCCACTCCCTCGTCCTCCATCCCCCACCTCCGCACACACACAGGCCGCAGACACGGACTCTGGGTTTTGTTTCTCCTTCACACGTGGATTTCCTCACAGATGCAGGCAGTTCTGTTCAGTCACCCTTCTCTTACCCCCGCCCTGTCCTCTCCCCATATCCACATGCACCCCTGCCTCTGGCCCTTCAAATACAATCACGTGCACTCCCGAGGCCTGGGAGGTGCCTCCAAGCCACTCCCAGCCCACTCCCGCCTCCTACACCTCTGCCCCACCTGCTCACCTCTCCAGTCCCCGGGACCTCCCACCTGAGTTTCTCACACCCGCCTTTCCCCTGCCCGCCAAAGCTGGCTCCCCCTCAGGCCTGAAACTGAGCCTGCACCACCGTCCTCCTCGGCACTCACCACGACCAGCGTTACCACTTCTTTTTCCTTACTTATTTTGTCTCCTCCACTAGAGCACAGGGCCCTTGTCTGTCATGTTCTTCGGGGCCCAGCATCAAGCCGGGCACACAACAGTTACTCAATGAAAGTTCTTGAACAAATGGGTAGAAGGAGATGAATGGATAGAAACATGCAGCAGACACCATGTCCAACGCTGTGCTGTGTCTCACGGCACCGGCTCAGCCCATTGTCCTAACAACTCTACACACTGCCACTATCCCTCTTTGCAGAAGTGGCCTCCCAGGCTCAGAGATGTTAAGGAACTTGCTTGGGGGTCACACGGTGAGTAAGTGGCCCAGCCACGACTGAAGTCCAGGTCAGCCTGACCTCAAAGTCTGTGCTGAGACATTATGCCACCGTCCCTCCAGCGCTACCGTCATTCCACCAATGCTTACTGAGCCTGACTCCTTGTAAGTGACCAAGGATACAGCGATGAGAAACACACAGCCCTGCCCTGCAGAGGCTCAGAGTGCGGTGAGGACGAGACGTGAGAACCACTGAGCGCGATGTGCCTGAGGGAGCTGTGGGGACACTGAGAAGGAGCCCCTCACCCAGATGGGGGCTGTTCCCATTTTCTTCCTGCCCACAAGCCACCAGGTGACCCCGAAAGGCTTCGAGACCATAGGACCCTGCCTGGAGTGACTTGTGTGTGTGCTCCTGGGGAAGGGGACCAGTCTCTCTCCTATGAGGGTGGGAGCCTCCACTTTGGTGTATGGCCCCTGAGGAAGAAGTGAACGTGAAGACATGAAGGAGGCACTGGCCGCAGCCTGAAGTTCTTGGGTGGCCGCAGACTCATCCTAGCAAAGAACCCTATAAACAGGGCAAGGCTGTCGGGCTCCTGAAATGGGCCTGCCCTGTTAGCAAATGCCTGCCGTAGTGGAGTTCCCTCCGGGACCTCTGCGGAAAGGGCACCCGCAGCCTCTTTGTGTGAACTTCAGGCAGGCATGTCTGTAGGGCGTGGGGATGGACCCCTGGATCACAGTCTTCCCAGGACCTGTCCTCAGAAGGAACTCCTGTTCCATCAGGCCCCCTCCCTCTCACCCTCTTGGCTCCCACCTAATCTGTGTGCCTCTGCAGTGCTGAGCCCAGTGGGCTGCCTACCCCAGGGGTGCAGGCAAAATGTTGAAAAAGCTGGTAAAGAATATGGGCAGGGTGGGAAGAGATGAAACAGAATTGACCTTGAGTTGGTGAAGCTGACTAACAGGTGCACAGGAGTTCATGATGTTCTATGTTTCACGTGTATTTATGACATTTTTAATAATCAAATGACAGAAGAAAAGGTAGGGCTCAGGCACTGACCAGTCAGGATGCAGAGCCAGCCATCAACACTTCCTCCTCTCCTGCTGCTTACTGTGGGGCTGGGGAGGGCAGCCTCTCCTGGTGGCTGCTCTGTCTCCACGGCTACCCTGGTGACTCAGCTACAGGCCCCACTTCTGCCCTTTGGATTGGAGGCGGGGGTGTGACTGGAAAACCTTGTGGGGTTTTTTAAAGGCAGTTTTGCTTTAATATCTCGTCCAGAAATCAACATGTTCTGGAAATGCCAACATCTGGGCATTCCAACTGTGCCTCCCAGACTGTATGGTTCTCGGAAATGGTACAACAGCCTTTGTGAGACACTGTGCCCTGATTTGGGGTTCAGAAAACAGGGTCCCTATGTCCACGTGACTCAAAAAAGAGCTGCCCAGTAAGCCTGGGAAGATAGCAACTGAGAGGTGGGGTACTGGGCCCCCGGGACTCCTCCATTTTGTGGGGGGCTCTTCCACTTTAGGGGGAGCTTCTCCATCTTGGGGCCAACCAGATGACTGCATATGGGCGAGCCCTGGAGCCCATTCAACCTCCCCCACCCTCACTTTCGGGGCAGGAAGCTGAGGCCCAGAGAAGCCCGGACCCCTCCCCTCCAGGCGAGGAAGGATACATTCCCAGGATCACGGCTTCCAGGCATTTGATTGGCAGGGCCTCTTTGGTCATTTCCTTGGCCAGGTCCATCAGCCTGTGGGAAAGGGAGGCAGGGCAGTAAGGATAGCGCCTCCAGCCCCTTCCAGGGGAGTGTGAGAAGGAGGGGGCAGGGTGGACTAGAAATGCTAGAAGGACAGAGGCTGCCCCCTAAGCTGCTCTCAGCTCAGGCCCAGCACCTCCCTCCACACTCCCAACAGAAGTCTGGAGCCTGAGGGGGTGGGAAAGAGGCGGCCACTGCTGACAGGAAGGAGGTCCACTCTCCCTCCTCTTCCCTCCTTTCACTTCCACTTCCCACGCCTGGCTCTTGCTCCAAAGAGCTTCGGGGGAGGGCAGCAGAAGTTGGGGGCAGGACCTTGACCGCTACCAGGCTGGGGCCTTCTGCGAGGTAGTGTGGGGAGGAGGGACGTCAGCATTGATCTCCTCCCTTCTGAAGCACAGTGGACACTCCTGACCTAACCATGGCTCCTCCCAAGAGCTTGTTAATTGACTGTAACTGCCTCCCCGCAGCTGCCTGGGCCTGGATGTGGGATCTTAGGCAGATAGTTGCGTGCTGACTTCCGGATCTGCTCCTGAACTTGGAGTTCAGGCCATTTTAAGACAGCCTTTCCCTGAGGCCTGGTTCCTCCCTCTGTCCCCAGCCTGGGGATTCAGCCTGGCCACTGGCTTTGCTCGTGAGGGCACCTGGACTCCTCCATGCCAAGTAAGGCTGGAGTGGGCCCCCAGCACACAGCAGCCACTGGCCAACAAGAGCAAAGCTTTGGGGATAGGGAGGGTGGACTCCACCCAGGGCCTTGGAGAAGGCGTAATTAAGTAATTTTGCTAATAAGCCATTTGAATACATTTTCACAAAGAAGTAAACACAGATTATATGTGGGGCAAGATGTAAAATTCACATTAAATTTTTTTTTTTTTTTTTGAGACAGAGTCTCCCCTGTCACCCATGCTGGAGTGCGGTGGCATGATCTCGGCTCATGGCAACCTCTGCCTCTTGGGTTCAAACGTTTCTCCTGCCTCAGCCTCCCAAGTAGCTGGGATTACAGGTGCCCGCCACCATGCCCAGCTAATTTTTGTATTTTCAGTAGAGAAGGGGTTTCACCATGTTGGCCAGGCTGGTCTCAAACTCCTGACCTCGTGATCTGCCTGCCCTGGCCTCCCAAAGTGCTGGGATTACAAGTGTGAGCCACCGTGCCTGGCCAATTCACATGAATTTTTAAAGCCCAGGGGTCTTAAGCCTGTGGGCATCTTTGGGCTGAGCCCCTAGACTCAGCTGTGGCATTCACTCTTCACTCTCCTCTGCCCTTGGGGCTTCATGGGCAGAAACTTTCGTGGAGAAGTGAATTCAGGCAGGGGGCTATGCCCAGGATGGCAGGATGGGAAGTGACAGATGCAACATTCTCTCCAGGGAGCTCCCTGTTCTCAGACCCTGGGCCTTCTACTCAATGCCCAGAAAACAGTCCAGGGAGTAAGGCAAATGGGGTGACCATGCAAGTACCGTGCAGTGGGGACCAGCAAGGGGGACCAGCAATGGGGAGGGCAGCAGCTGCAGAACAGAGAAGGGGGAGGGCTCTCTCCTGCAAGGTCCACCTCTCACTAAAAAACAAAAGATCTGAGGCTCACCTACAGTCCACCTAGGACCACCCTCTCTCCTGGCCAAGGCAAGAGCTGGGGACGGGCTCTCTCCCACTCTCTAGCTCAGCATGGACCTGGGATTTCCTTTTCATCAAGGCAGCCCTGGCTGTTCATTTCCTCTTTATGACATCCTTAAGGCCCCACGGTGGCACCTGCCCCCAAAGGCTGGCTTCCTTCCAGAGAGTCCCTGACTGCCCCATAAACTTCCACTCCAAGGCTCACTACAGGGCTTTCAAGAGGCTCCAAGCCAGCCCTGGGGCAGAGGACTGGCCTCCCCACACTTACCCTGTCAGAGGTCTGCTCTTCTTAATTTCAAAGAACTGTGTCCCTGTGTGATTGTACCTGCGGGCGTGGGTTAAGGGCTTCCTAGCTTGGCCTGAAGGAGGTTGACCCTCTCTCCCTGCCTATCCCCAAGCTCAAGAGCCAAGTCTTCTGGAGGGGACATGGGGGCACAGCATGAATGCTTCTCCGCACCTCACGCCCCCTTCTCTTTCCCTCTCCCTCACCCACCTTGGCTTTCTCCCTTGTTCTCCCCTGGCTTCCCTTCTTAGGACAAGAGACACGGAGCAGGCGGCCGGCCTGGTGAGGGCCAGAAAGAGGCTGTGGCTGGGAACAGCTCCCTGCAGCACTTCATCTTCCAACCAGCTGAGAAGTCACAGGAACTGAGAGGAGGCTAGGGTAGGGGATCTAACTCCGCCTTTAATTGCTCCTGAGCCAGCCACCTGCCTCACTGGACCAGTTTCCCCACTGGCATAGTGAGGAGCTGGACCCGATTTGCAGTCATTGGCCTGGCTTCCCCCAACCCAGGATCCATGCCTAGCTCTCCCATCTCTGATCTCTGCAGCCAGAAGCCTGGGAGACAGGACCCAGAACACACAGCTCGGGGGCAGGGTGCAGGGGCTAGAGGGCCCAGAGCAGGGACACAGGGGAATCTGGACCCAGGGGAGCCCAGCTCTTCCCCTGCTGGCCTCCTGCCAGGGAAGAAAAAGGAGAAGAACCAGGAGAAAATTCTAGGATTCCGAAGTTACCTCCTGGAGCCTAAAATCCTTTTTCTCCGCCATTTTCCTCTTTCTTCAAAACCAGACTTTCAAAAGCCCCAAGGCAGCTCCCTCTCTCCCTCTCTGCTAGGGCTGGGTGGACAACAGAGCAGGAGATCTATCTAGACTTGGCCACCCCACCAGCAAGTCGCTCGGGACCCATTTCCCTCTCTTTACCCCGTCATATGGCAGGAGCGGGAGGTGAGTGGCAAGAGAGTGCGGAGTGGGCCCTGCACTCATCAGACAAAATTCCTCCGACATCCAGGAGGGACATGGGACATGTCCCACAGCAGCAGGGACCACAGAGATGCCATGTGAATGGCAGCCCTGGCATTGTGGAATGAGTGGCTCTGCTGATACCTCTTCAGCTCTGTCTGGAAATGCCCACCACAACGGCCAGAAGGTGGCCATGACCCTTGACCAGAGAGGATACTGCAGCTCCCTGATGTAGCGCTGCACAGCTTCCAGGCGCTCAGGGACAGGTGTAGACGGCTGGAACGTAGGCACACTCGGTATGGGGATCTGGGGACAGAGAAAAAGCTCCGGTCACAAGAAGAGGCTCACCCTGGAGCTTCCAGTCCACCAAACCACCTACGACTGGCCTCAGAGGCACCCCACCCTGGGGAGGCGCAGCTTCCCCTCCCTCCCACTTGAGCTTCCTTTCTTGGCACCCCCTCGTTGGAAGACTCTTGCCAGGGCCCCAGCCCAGCCGTTCCTTCCCTCCCGGGACTTAACAGCATTTCTCATTTGGAGCATATGTTGATATTCCAATTTTATGCTTCTTTAATAATTTTAGAAAAACTTAGGTAAATTCACTGACTGTTTTAAATTTTAAATATTCATTAGTTTCAAGACTTAAGAATATAATATTGGGGTTAAGTTCTTTTAGCTTTGAAGTTTGCTCTGGTTCAAGTGCCGGATCAAAGTTGGTGTATCCGGGGTCCCATCCTCTCAGGTGGTGCCCTAGGCTTGGGGAGTGGTCCCGAGGGGGGTGAGCATCCTTGGTAGGGGGTATGACCCACCCAGTATTACGGGCATATGTGCCAGGCCTTCCAGAGCACCACCCTGAACCGTCAAGGAGTCAGTCAGCGGTAGCAGGCCAGAAGGACATATTTTGGAACAGGTCTAGATGTAGCTCTGTTGCTGGGGCCTGCACAGGGGGCCTGGGTCCTCCTTCAAGTGTTCCCTTTCCTGCCAGCTCCATATCTAAGCAGTACAGGTTTCCAGGTACCCAGCCAGTCTTCCTCCCCAGAATGCACTTTCCAGCACCCAGCCCAGAAATGGCGGAGGAGAGAACAGGCAGAGCTTCCCAATGCCCGGGAGCCCGGAGGCTGCTGGGGTAAGGTCAGGAACAGCTGACCCCCAGGCTTCCTTCAGCCTCCAGTCTCCAGAAAAGAGACCATTATGCCAGTGTGGGCCCCTCTCCAGCCAGGGGAGCCTGAATCCGGAGGTTTGGCTACAAGAAGTCGGTGAGGCCGAGGAGGCCAAGAGATACCTCAGTTAGAGTCCTCTGAGGTTTCAGAACAGACTTCTTTGGGTAGAAGAACCAGACTTCCAAGGACAAGGCCCGCCCCTCAGAGCTCCCCCTTGGCCACCAGCACAGTAGCTATAAGGCTCCCCACATAGAGAGGTCCCACCCCCTGCCCCCAAGCCTCCACCTGGCCCTCCAAGGCCAGACTGAGCCTCCCCACAAGGGAAGGGGGTAGGGCTGTGTAGGGAGGGAAGGGTGAAGCTCTTCTCCTCCTTTCCTCGGGAGGCTCTCGAGTGGTGGAGATGCCAGCCCAGCTTTTTAAATAATGTGACTGCAGGGACTGGAGCTCTGACAAGGAGGGAAGTGACACTCCAGTTATCACTGCACACTCATGTCTGGGGTGCTGCTGATGGCACAGGCACACGGGACAGTGTCTGACAGACACCTCCTCACTGTAAGGGGTGGAGATGCAGGAGGGAAGGGGCCCTGGTCCAGAGCCACAGTGTCGCCTGCACTTCCTAGCCCTCCCTCCCGTCTGTCTTCTCCTTCCTGTCTGGGCAGTCCCTAGCAACCGCACTGGCTGCCCTGGCTCCTGAGCCACTGACACCTCTGTCTGGAGGGAGCCATTTCCCTTTCACATTGCTCCCCCTCCCCAAATTGGCACCACCACTTACAGTCACCAGCAGGATAAAAGCCCGGGGTGGGGGACTCCCCCTCTTCCTGTCTGGCCACCCTGTGCCAAATGGGCCCCAGGGCCTGGCCTCCCCATGTCAAGCATACAGGGGTGGGGAGGTGGAAGAGGAATTAGAGGAATTACTTAGCAATTTACTTTAAATAGCATGGCACATCCACCCAGTCACCTGGTCTCTGCAGGCGGCAGCCCCTGCCAGGCAGGGAAGCAGGCAGATCATCCCCGCGCACAAGCGAGGATCCAGTGACCTTGAGGAGCTTGGGATAAAGACTGTAATACACCCTCCCACAAGAAGCTGCAAACAGGGAGCTGCAGTCCCAGGACTGGATCATTCACCCAGAGCCAGGCCTGGGCCGGGGCCAGGCAGTACCCACGAGAGCACTGGCACCGGCTGTTCAGACAAAGGACCCAGGAGCTGGCTGCTCTGGGAGAAGGAAAAGTCAAGAAAATACCTGGGGGTTCAGAGGCAGGACCTTAAGGCCACCCTCCCCGAGGCTAGCTCTTTGACTCAAGTCACCCCACTGCAGGCAGCACCGACACCTTTTTTTCTAAATGTTCATTACCCACATAGACTCGTTCACTCAAACACAAATAAGAAAGATTCTGTATATGCAAACGATTGGGCCCACTTTAGGACTTGCCCCTCACCCCAACCTCCGAAACAGGAAACAGAAGTTGGGAAATACTTCCTCACTGTTGAGGGGTGGGGAGGGAGCCTACAAGTGCGGCATGGTGGGGGAGTGGTAAAGCCACCAGATCTCCCCAGGGAGCACTCCTTCTCCACAGCCAAGGTCAAGGACTCCCCCGGCCCCAGGAACCCCTACAGTCCTGAGTTCTACTGAGACAGTCTCACTGGAGGGGTCTATTTCAGTCTAGCACGATGAGGCCTAGGGGAGGTGGGGAGAGCTTGTGACTGGATGTATGTGCCGAAAAAGTGTGTCCTAGAGGGCAATAGGGCTGAGTCTCCCAACTAGATCGTCACTGTGGATATTCAGCTCTGCCATTTACAGTCATGACTTTATTTATTTATTATATATTTTTTGAGACAGAGTCTTGCTGTCACCCAGGCTAGAGCACAGTGGCGTGACCTTGGCTCACTGCAACCTTCATCCCCCAGGTTCAAGTGATTCTCCTGCCTCAGCCTCCCGAGTAGCTGGGATCACAGGCATGCGCAACCACACTCAGCTAATTTTTGTATTTTTAGTAGAGACGGGGTTTCACCATGTTGGCCAGACTGGTCTCAAACTCCAGACCTCAAGTGGTCTGCCCGTCTCAGCCTCCCAAAGTGCTGGGATGACAGGCGTGAGCCACCGCGCCCGGCCCAGTCGTGACTTTAGTGCCTCAGGCACTTCATTTATAAAGCGGGCACCAACACAGAATCAGCCTTACAGTGCAAATGAGATGCTGCAGGTCGAGGTCTTAGAGCGGGGTCTGGCACATAGCACAGACTTAATTCCTGTTCGCTGTCATCATTATCAGTGTGTCCCGAAGATATCAGTCCGCACATGCTGATCGCGGCAGTTTCCCTTTTAGAGGAGATGTCCAGGCTGGGTGTAGTAGCTCATGCCTGTCATCCCAGCACTTCGGGAGGCTGAGGCGGGAGGATCACTTGAGCCTAGGAGTTTGAGACCAGTCTGGGCAATATAGCGAGACCCCACCTCAACAAAAAGATAAAAAAATTAGCCAGGCATAGTAGGGCACACCTGTAGCCCCAGCTACTCTGGAGGCTGAGGTGGGACTATCACTTGAGCCCAGAAGGTAGAGGCTGCTGTAAGCCATGACTGTGCCACTGCATTCCATCCTGGTGACCAAGCAAGACCCTGTCTCATAAATAAACAAAAGGAAAGCACTCTGGAGTCATCATAAATAGCTAGAGGAGATGTCCAAATTCCCATTCTGCAGGAGCTCTGCGGCCTGAGCCATAAAAGACCTTCAGCAGCTGGGTCTGGGGTCAGTGGTCACTAAGCTTTTAAAGGTGGTGGAAGCCTGAAACCTGAAGGAGAGACTCTTATCAAGGAGCCTAAGCTGTTGCTGGATGTGGGATCTTTCTAGAAATTGTTGCCCTATAACATACTGGCATCATCCCTGTAATTACAGGCTGCTTCTCCAACGCGCTAGTGGGGTGTTGATGAACACTCACTCCTTGCTCCATTACTAGGTATCTGTTAGAGGCACCTAATGAAGCATCACATGCTTTGCATCGTTAATTCCTCTAACATCCTCTTGATGGGCATTGCTATTAGCTCCATTTCACAGGAGGAAACTGAGGCACAAGAAGGTTGCCTGTCTCCCTCACATAAACAGTTATGGGAGATCAAGGATTTGAACAAGGTGGCTTTGACTCCAGAGTGCTCTCCTTTTATGACACCACCCTGCAGGGGTCCCAGACTCAACCACGTGCAGGGGCCAGGCAGGTAACATACACAGGGCACGCGGGCCTGGTAGGTGAGTGGTGGAGATGGTGGCAAGATGGGGGAGTAGGACCCACTCCCCAGCCCCAGCTGACAGCTGCTTCGTGGGACTGCAGATTCCCATGTGTTCCCAAGTCGTCTTACTTTCTGAAAAGATGCCAAAAATCTGGATCTTTATGTGAGAAATCTCCCAATTTTAAATTTCGGCTCAAGTGGCCTTTTAAAGCATTGTACAGTCCCAACAAAACACTTCTTGAGCCCCAAACTGTGTAGCCGCTCTAGGGAATGCCCCTGTGCCAGCTCCAGTGGCATGGCCCCTAGGGATGGTAAGGATGGGGTCAGCCCACCCTGCCACTGGCACCCTGGCACCCAGGCGCCCAACCCATGCTGCTTCTCTCCAAGGCCTGCTGGACTCCACTGCACTCTCAGACTCGAAGGGCACCTTTCTTTTTTATTTTTTTTTGAGACGGAGTCTCGCTCTGTCGCCTAGGCTGGAGTGCAGTGGCACGATCTCAGCTCACTGCAAGCTCCACCTTCCGGGTTCACGCCATTCTCCTGCCTCAGCCTCCCGAGTAGCTGGGACTACAGGCGCCCACCACCGCACCCGGCTAATTTTTTGAAGTTTTTAGTAGACACGGGGTTTCACCATGTTAGCCAGGATGGTCTCGATCTCCCGACCTCATGATCCGCCCACCTTGGCCTCCCAAAGTGCTGGGATTACAGGCGTGAGCCACCGCGCCCGGCCTCTAAGGGCACCTTTCTACTCAGGGCCCAGGTAGAGGAGGGACCTCATGCAGACTCATGCGGTTTATCTGAGATCTGTGGTTTGAAGAGGGGGAAATTCAAATTTTCCCAAACCTCTCACAAAATTCCTTCCACTCTAGGGGTGGAAGTCTAGGGGTCCGTCACAACACAGCCCCCACCCCTAGACTTCCTTCATCCATGTCCTTCCTGTACATGAGGACTGAAGATGACAAGATGACATTATAAACCAGTTACTAGTGAGCTCACTGAACTTTTTTTTAGTTCCCAGGAGTGGTGACAGTTCTATTCAGCAGGGAACTATTCACACTCTTTTATGGTATGATTTAGATATAAGCCATCTGGAGAGCTGCCCAGCGTTTTCAGGTAGGAGCAGGGTGTGACTCTGGCCTCATCGGGACAACCGATCTGAGCAAAACCTAGTCTTCCCGCTTGATAAAGGACATGAGTAAAGGTGATGGACATCTGGCTGGGCGTGGTGACTCACACCTGTAATCTCGAGCGTGGTGGCTCATGCCTGTAATCCCAGCACTTTGGGAGGCTGAGGTGGGTGGATCATCTGAGATCAGGAGTTTGAGACCAGCCCGGCCAACATGGTGAAACCCCGTCTCTACCAAAAATACAAAAATTAGCCGGGCATGGTGGCGGGCGCCTGTAATCCCAGCTACTTAGGAGGCTGAGGCAGGAGAATCACTTGAACCCGGGAGGTGGAGTTGAGGTTGCAGTGAGCAAGATCGTGCCACTGCACTCCAGCCTGGTGGAGAGAGTGAGACTCCGCTTCAAAAAAAAAAAAAAAAAAGGTTACGGATATCCAATAACCATGTAATGGTTGGGGCTTTACAGTTTGTCAAATACTTTAACACACAGTCTCTCATTTCATCTTCCCCACAATCAACCTCATTTTATTGATAAGAAAATTGCATCTCAATTAGGTGAAAGGGGCCATATAGATAAGCAGGTGGCCCCTACCAATGTCAGTATCCTTTGATGCAATACTTTCACTTTCAGAATCTTTCCCAAGGAAATAATCAGAGATGGACCCCAAAAATCACATTTTAGAATGTTCACCACAGTATTCATTTTAGGAATAAAACTGGAAACAACATCCAACTATAGGGGATTAGCTAAATAAATGGTAAGTCAGTGCAGAGCGCATTTATGCGGCCATTCCAAATCAATCTACATTTTGTTTCCGCTGGAAACATTAGGCAGTATTTTAACCTTCAACCTTTGATTCTCTTTTTCCCAGAAGACACTTTCTGATGACTGTACCGATAACTTGGTAAAAACAAAACGGGCCACTGGTCCTCATGTCTAATTCACACTAACTTCCAATCCTCCTAGCCCTCTTCCTTCCGACCTGGGCAGGCAGGGCTAGGCACTGGGCTCTGAGCTCAGTCCAAAGGGCTCTTTTTTGGAGATTTCAGGCCTCTGCATTTGGCAAAGTGCCTCCTAGTCTTGATCATGTTCTTTTTTTTTTTTCTTTTCTTTTCTTTTCTTTTTTTTTTTTAAATATCAGGCATGTATTTCCATACAGCAGCGTACAGCTCAGCAACTCTCAAATACCCTTTCATTCAGCAAACACACACACAAGTGCCTGTTCTGTGCCAGGCACACAGGAGGCCTTGGGAAGACAAAGATGAATGAGATACAGCCTCTGCTTTCGTTGGTGACACAACTGAAGGATAGCTGTCATGGAGGAGGAGTTACAGCCAACACAGAAAAATTATTACATTGTATGCTTCTCCATAAGACCTCTTCTAATGTCCTTGAATCTACTGTCCAACAGAGAAGAGGACCTGGACACCTCCCTCCACCACCCCCCCCTCCTTCTCCTGAACACCTGAAGTTGAATCTCAGTTCTGCCACCTACTGGCTGTGGGGCCTTGAGTTCCTACTTGAGTTTTCAGCTTTCTCATCTGTAAAATGGGAACCCAAATTGCACTTAACGTCACAAGGCTGTTGGGAGAATTCAGTGACATAATGCACAAAAATATTTTCTCAACATATGAAGCCCTGCATCTCCTTAGTCATTCATTACATGTGTCTGCTCACAGTTCTCTAGCTTGGCAAGTGTCATCAAGCAAATGAGACATCAAGCCATCCTAATGTGTTTGTTAGTTCCATCTGCTGCTGTCCCCTCCTGTAAAACATGGGCATTTTAAAAGACAGCGGAGAGGACCTCCTGGAGACAGGTATGTGAACCTCCCTCTTATAATGGTGGTGAGAGAAAGTTCTCCGGGACAGGTATGATTTCTCTGCATTTTAAATATCTTACCGAGTCAGTGGTCCCCTGCCCTGTGGGAGGACAGTGTGGCTTTACTTTTAGCCCCAAGGTCACTAAAACCCTAGACTGTGCTATCACCCCCGACCCCCAAGCCTCACCTTGGGCAGGTCTGTGGCCCCACGGATCCGTTGCGCCACCTTCTCTCCATCGGGGTGGATCTTGGCCACGTGTTTCCACATCCTTTCCCAGGTGGCCTCATCCACAGGTAGCCCACCCCGGTTGACAAAGAAGGGGACCCCTCCGTCTCGCAGGTCCTCTTCCCCTTCCTCTTCTGGCTCCTCATCTCTCTGGGCTGAGGCTCCTTGGCTGGTCTCCAAACGCCTGACCCCAGAGGGGGCGGTGGTCACAGCGGATGTTGGAGTGGCACCGCTGCTACCACCCCCAACCACCTTCTTCCCCCCTGGCATCCCTAAATCCTCGAGGGCGTGGTGGAGGCGGGAAAACAGGTGGCTCACAAGAGGCCTCCCACACACCAGCTGCAGAGATAACACATGGCCAGAGTGCAAGGCGCCTTTAAGAAATCAGGGCGTGGCTCCTGTACAATAAACTACTACTTGATAAAAAAAATCAGTGCAATAAGGTGAAGTGGGGTCCAAGGGGGTGGGTTGTCTGGGGTCAGCCTTGGAGGCCTTGTTCTGTTTGAAAAATGGGACAAAGAGAACACACCCCACCTTGGCAGCCGTCACAAAGCACCCCCATCTAACTGCGAGAACAATGACGGGCAGCAGTGAGGGCTGGCAGAGCGGAGAAAAGTCGAAGGGAAACTGAGGCCAGACAGCTCGGACCAGCGGCTGCAGAAAGGACAGAGTCAAGGCACCGGTGCCCACTGGGCGCCCTGGGTCTCAGTTTCGGAGGGAACAAAACCCCCTACACAACTCTCGCACGCTCACATCTGCGCGCGCCCCAGTAGAGACCGAGGCGACTCCCGGCCGCGCGAGCTCCGAACCAGGACCCCCGGGCGGGAGAGCAGCGCTGGGGGACGATTTCTCCGACGCGACGAGACAGTCCGGGAGCCAAGACTCGCAGCTGGCGGGGCGCGGGGAGGGGGCGCGCGCCGACGCGCACATTCCACGCCCGCGGCCAACTCCCCTTACAAAGTGGGCTTTGTCTGGGCCCCCTGTCCCCGCGTCCCCAGAAACAGCGGCAGAGTCCCCAGAAAGGGAGCGGGCGCGGCGGGGAGGCGAAGGCTGCGAGCGCCGAGGCCCAGCGGGTCCCCAGCCGGCCGCGTCTCAGCGGGAGGACCGCGAGCACCTGGCGCCGCGCTGCACCAGCCGAGCCATCGCAGGGCACGGGGCCCGCGGCTCAGCGGGACCAGCTCGGGCGGCTCGCAGGGGCCAGGCTGAGGTCACCGAGCGGCGGGCTCCGGCCGCGGGGTCGCTGCCTGGCACTGGCTGCAGCATGGGCGGTGGCGCGGCCGGGGCGGGCGGAGGATGCTCCGTGGCTGTTCGCTTGGGCTGCCGCTGCCCTGGCTGAGGGTGGAGGAAGGACCGCGGGGCGGGGACCGCAAGCCCGGAGGCTCGCGCAGTCTCGGCCGGCGGATGTACCTGGAGGCGAGTGACGAAGCCGGGCGAGCGCGCGCTGCGCTGGTGCCTGGGGAGCAGTCTGCCAACGCGGAGCCAGCCAACGCGGAGCCCACCAGCCGATCGCGGCTCGGCGAAGCTGGGGCCGCCGCTGCTGCAGCCCCGCCGCCCCTGGGCCCTGCTGCCGCCGACCGCGTCCCCTACCCGCCAGCCGCCCACCCGGCTCGACTCCGGCCCGCGCCGCGCATGCGCTCCGTCCCCCCCTTAAAGGGCCAGCGCCTTCGCGCCCCGTCCTCCGCCCCCCCGCAGCGGTCCCTTTGGCCCAAGTTACCCCAAGGACGCCGGTGGGCATTCGCTCCCTCCTTACCCAGCTGTCAGGGCACCGCGAAGCCGGTGCGAAGCTGCGGAGGAAGTTTTCAACGTGCCAAACGGAGCGCAAACTCCATGGAGATTCCTAGTGCAGAAGGAATTCCTGCGGTCGGGAATTACTGGAAAAGGATTCCTCGCAGGGGCCCTCAGCGGGTAGGACCGAGAGCACTGGCCTGGAAGACTGGGATTCTAGACCGGATTCAGTGCCTGTGTTGCTTTGGGACGTTCAGTTCCCTTCCCTCTGTAGGCCTCAGTTTCCCCATGTCTCAGCCGAGGTGGTCACAGTGAGTGAGTGCAGAATCCCTCCCAGCGCGCACAGTTCTTACAGGAGTACATCTAGGGATTGAGACAGGAGGGTCACTACCTCTAGAAACGAAAAGGATAAAAGTCACCCTGTTTTATCCGATTGCCTGCACTGGTGGGAATGGGGTGCGCAGAGCTCGACCCTAGACCGTCTGCCTAGACCGGGCTTTGGACGCTCCGGACCCCGCGGACCAGGGTGGGACCGCGACGTGGGCGTGGGAGGCAATGCTTGGGGAGGGTCGGCTGGCCTAGAGGAAGGTGAAAGTGCAACCGGCTGTGGTGCGTGGCCCCTGAGCATTGGACACTGAACGTACCCTCCGCCTCCCTCATGCCATAGAGTTGTAAACCGTGGGAAAGGCACTATCTCTAGGCTAAGCCAAGAACTTTAGGAAAAGACAGCTGAGTGTGTGCTTTAAGACGCTCTGCCTCTCCCCAACCTGTAGTTAGCATGAATCACAGTCTTGTGGGAGAATACAGATTCCTTGGCCTTAGCGGGCAGATTCAGGTTCCTTAGTTGTGGAGTCATTGCATTTCTTGACAAGCTGAGGTTACTACACAAGGGCTGGGTTGAAGGCCTTAGAGAGTCCCCAGGGCCTCAGTGGTTTCACATCTGTTCCCTAAAGCTGTTCCTGGTCTCTGAACTCTCTGGGTACCTCCTGTGCTCCTGTAGCAACCTCTTACCACCTCCAGGGTCAGAAACCAAGTGTTATCAGTGATGGGAAGGATCACAAGACTCCAAGAAAGTTAATTCAGCCTGGATCTTCTTAAATTCACTGAAGCAAGAAGACTCCAAGCATAGAAGAGTCACTAGGGATCAACAACTGTCACCCTGTATTGTAGAAACCAAGTCTCAGAGGGT